CATATTGAACACTTGCTGGCTCTTGAATTTCGCTTTCATTACTTACAAGCGTTTGTTCGTTGCGGCTGCCTTGCACTCCTGTGTTCATTGCGCTGATCGCTGCCGTCAAATTCACCATTACTGCTTTCAGCCCGTCGATTTGCGTTTGCAGCTCATCTGTAGTAGCAGTCTCTTCTAGCTCGGATGAATCGATTTCATCAGTTCCCAGTAACTCCTGTAGCTTCGCAACTTTGTGGGCCTTTGTCCCAGTCGTTGTTGCACCATTAGCTCGTAGTAATTCGTTTAGTTGAGCAACCTTAAGCGCAGTTAGCTTCAACATTTTAAAATTCCCTTTCTCGGTCGTGTTTACGTCTTCACTCTTAAACGTCGAATGAATTACCCCGAATTTCTATTCTCCTCTGTATCTTCACAGTTTCGCCTTTTTTTTTTTGTTTGTTTGACTTTGCTAGTAGGCTTTGCGCTTACTTGCTTCACTTGTTGTATCGCACACTTTTTAAGGGTGGATTTTCGTTGCACTGTTTTCTGTGCTAGCTACTGAACGCTGTAGCTTACTTTGTTGTTTCGTTGTTTTTGTAGCTTGGCGCCGCTGAGTCGTTTGCTTTGCCGTTGCTACACTTTGACACACAGAATTCTGTACTACGCCGTTTTGCAAATTCGTGCACGTTTGCGTGGTAGACTTCTGATGTTTGTACGTATTTTTTTTTTTTTGAACGTTTGTGCTGTATCAATGTGTGTATGTATCGTTGTGTATTTCACCGTCGCACCGTTGAGACTTCTCCAACAATTGCTTCGTTGCGCCGTTTGCTTTACGTGCCGTTTGCGCTTTGCAAATATTGTCTGTACCTTTCCTTAGGAAATACACATACACACTTTCGTAGATATGTATTTATCGTCACTTTATACTTGTAGGCGTCTCCACAAATTTATGAAGCTCCAATTCCACTCTGACTCTGTCGAGATGGCCGTTTGTTGAGACAAGCAAAACACATGTACTCACAACGCTGAAGTTGTATTCAGTAAAATTAGGTTTATTTAAGTAATTTAGTTTTAGAAAATAGAAAAAGTAATTAAATTGATTGATAAGCAAATATTTGTATTGGCTTCCGCACACGACCAATCTCTCTCGCTGACGTTTACCGACTTCCCGACTGCTGCCACTCTCTTGCAGACATGCCTCGTCGTCAAGGGTTGCCAGATAACTTTACACAAACAAATTCTAAAGAAAGAGTAATTTTTTTTTTGGTTGTTAAATTTTCTGTCGCACCTTTGAATGGCAACAAAACACTCCATTTTCGCAGCCTCTACCTATGAAAGCAAAAAGATGTTTATTTAACGAACCATCTATGCATAATAGTATGTGGAGTTGACGAATTTGAGCCAGGCTTCATTTTCATGTCTTCCAATCGCTCAAATCTCGGACGGTTCCAGGACCCAAGAACCTCAGCCTATTAGTATCCAGTCCGTGACATTGACATAGTAAATGCTTTCGTCGCTTAGGCTCCTCTGCTCAGCGTACGGAGCTTCTTCGATTTTTCAAAGCCCCTTTTCGGCCATATTAGTTTTATCATATTGAAGGGTTTGATTGTTTCCATTATGCGCCTTATTCTGAGAAGAACAAAATTGAACTTGCAGGTAGCTGGCGGTATGCCTCATCTTATCCAAGACGACGACAGTGGAACTGAAGTGCCCTTCCTTGCGATCTCCTCCGCCTTCACAACACTTAGCTTTTGTACTGCTTGTTGTACCAAGTACAACAACTCGTCGACTTTGTTTTCCATTTTGCCGCCAATGCAGTACTAAATAGATCCCTTGGATCTGTAAACGTCCAGGATCCATTGCTGCCGCATCGTGATTGTTACGTGCTTACTAAAGTAAATTTTTAAGACAACAAATTTTTGAGAAATCATTCGATTGTATTCCTTAATAAGAGCCGACTCAGTTTGGAAAATACCAGCTGGTAAAATTCCCTCCAGCAACTGTTTCGTCAAGCTTCGCCCCATCTACTCCTTCCTTCAGAGGCTATGAGAGTTGAAAGTGGTGCCTAGAGGCCGACTAGGTAGGCAATTATCTGTATTATAAAAAACAAATACGAGGCTCCCAAGAATATTTGAGTGTACAAACGCCTGAGTCAGTTAATCATGCATTATCTACGAGTCTGAACTATCGGAAGTATATATCAAAAATTATCAAATTATATATGTATTAAAATGGAGAGAGATTGAATTGAAGTTCTCCAATGATTTCCATAAGAATGGCCCTTTACAAATCTGCCAGAGTGACTACCCTCCATTGATGTACTGTGGAACGAATTTTCGTCAACACTTGTAAAAATGGGCTCGGAGGCAACCCCGTTTCGGCGTTGTGTTAAGCCCGTAATCACATTTTGTTCTCTCTATTCTTCCGAAAACTTAACAGGTATGCAAAAAAGCAACACCTTCAACACATTCGTGCATCGAATTATCAGAAAAACTCGAATTTCCATTAGTTGTAGGTATTAGATGTAACCACAAATTTATGCGTTGGAAATATCATTCTGTACCCCAAAGGTATGTGAAGGATAAAGTAACGGGACAAGCTTCGTACAAATAGAACTGGCGGTACAAAAAGTTGTGAGCATTCAGTATGTACACTCTAGTACGAGATTATCGTTACTATTATAGAAGGAATCAGGGTGAAGACCTCCTAACTGAGGGAAGTTACCAAAATCAGGACCTAATAATAATGCTTGCTTTCTCATCGCAACGTTGAATAGGGTTCCACTTCGTCGTGTCGTTATGAGTAATATAGGCGAATATTAGGTAGAACTCTTAAGTGGAAAAAGAAATCCAATCAAAATTTTTCTAAGAAGCTTTTTCTAGGCAAACAATTAAATTATAAAATACAAATTAAATTTATTAACGAAAAGAGTTGGACACTTGAGACGGATAATCTTCAAAACTACTCATACAAACACAAATTGTGATGTCTGCCATTTGATATTCATATCATACAATTTTATTGCGAAGAAAAATTTCTAAAAATACAGTACAATATAAAAAAAGGTTTATAGTACAAATAATAGAATATATATTTTGCAAAATTTAATCGATTGCAGTTCAAAGTTGTTACTTGTTCAAGTTGTAGTTAGTTGTTTTATAAAAAAAAAATATATATATATATATTAAACAAATACCTACTCACATATATATTAGTTAACGAGTTGAATTTTTAAAATGAGTTACATAAATAACACATATATACATAGATATATAGTATAAATAGTATAAAAAGTAATTAGTTTCAAAGTTTCTACTTACATTTAGCGCTGAAGCTGGTAGTTACAAAACAGTAATTAAAATTGTTTTTAATCAACATTTTTTATTTGCGAATTTCGAAGCGTTCATCTGTACATACTTTTTCGCATATCTTTACATATATATAAGTTGCCCATTCTGTCGATATACCAACATACGTGCCTTCATACAACTAGTATACATCCATACAGAGCTAATTGTTTTCAACTTTAAGTAGCATTGGCGTAATTAGCGAACAACAACAACAACAACAATAACAACAAAATCAGCTCTTAGTTGTATAATTGAATTGTTCAAAAAAAAATAAAAAAATTAATTCGTTTACGCTTTTCTGCGTGTTCTTTTCTTTTTCGTTTCTTTCGTCTTTTTTTTCTTTTTCTGTTCTACTTTCTCTTACCGCCAAAAATGTTTCTCTGAATGCACGCCACTGTAAAATCGGCATCAATACATCTACACTCCACTACAACCACCTGCAATCGCTCACAATCAACGTTCACACCATCTGTGCCTGGCATACAACTGCATTTGCAACATACAAACATTCAAACGTATCCTTCTACACCCATGCAAACAAATGTGAAATGTGCAACAAAATACAAAACCAAAAAAAAAATATTTCGAAAACAAAAATCAATTCACAACTTACTTACACACGCCCACAACAAATGCGCCACAACCTTATCACTCTGCCACTCTGCCACACCGCTCGTTCGCTCCGCACTTCACAACGAATACCCACAATTCTCACATTGCACTCTCATCTTCATTGTAACAAATTTAATGCAGCATTCAAACGTGCATTTACAGCGCCTTCCAGCCCCTCACATCAGGGTCGCAAATTGCTTTATGCCACGCGCGGCATGCGCGGTGGCAGCGTCGATCTGCCAGACGAGATGGAGAAATCGCAGTCATCGGCGAGCACCTCACCATGCCCCTCACCCGTAAGGCAATTTCAGGTATCTCGTTTTTAGTTTCATTCGATTTTCCTTTTAGTTGTTTTCAGTTTGGGTTGTTAATTTTTGGAAGTAAAGTGTTGAGTTGTGGGGGATATTCGCGCTGAAAACTGGTAGTAGTTGGTTGGTAAGTGATGCCAGCGGATAAAGAAAATGTATGACAAAATAAAGCTTAACTTACATATATACATACATATATGCACATTAGGGTGGTCCAAAAATGATTATGGGGGGGGGGGAATGAAGTCGGAAATTGTATGCTCTCACCCCCTAGGGTTCTTCTATTCCAAAAAAATATACCCGTTTTTTATTTTGAAATCAAAACATATTTAGAAGTCGCGCAAAGTGCTAAAAATTTTCCATATATTTTATAAGGAATTTTATAGAATTCTTAAAAATAAATACTTTTCGATTGAAAAACTCTGTTTCTCTGCAGGAGATTTCCGATAATAACACCCAATTGTTTACTTAACCATTTTTTCATAGCAACTATATTTTATAGGTCCGCCAAAACCACCAGAAAATGCATAAATAAAAAGTCGTTAGTATTATAAATTGGTTGAATTTACAATTGGGTGTTACTATCGAGAGTCTCCTGAAGAGAACTTGTGTTTTCCGATTGAAAATTTTTCATTTTCAAGAATTCTATACGTTTCTACGAATAGTTGTTTTCCCCATACAAAATTCATGGAAAACTTTGAGAGCTTCGAGCGACCTAAAAATATTTTTTTTTTTGTATAAAACAATCCTAGAGGTTGAGCATTAAAATTCCTAGTTTATTTGGACCACCCTTATGTACATACAATCATGGTCAAAAATATGCATACCCTAACGTTTTTTCCATAGCAAATTTTTCTTAGTTTGTTATAAAAATATAGACTTTATTCGCTGACACCTTTTGCGTACCTTTTTCCATATAAAAAATAAATAAGTAAAACCGGCAAAACGTCAGGGTATGCACATTTTTGATGCTGACTGTATATGTATGTAAATACATTCATGCATAGCTATAGGCGGAATTCGGCGTGAACATCCCTACATATGCGGTAAGCTTGAGGAAACCTAAACTACTAAAAATGTATCAGTTTTAAATATTTCTTTGCGGAAGTTAATAAAATTTATTTCATTTTACATTTTTTAAGTTCAAAATTTTTTATTCATTTGTTAATAATAATTATTTTTTTCTGTGTCGATACACCTATTAAAAAAAAAACTGTACTTACATACTCGTTTCAATTTAATTTACTTTCTAAGCACTTTGTTTTATACAATTTTTATTCAAAAAAACATTCATTTCTTCTGTTCATTTATATTTGGGTTTCAAAATGTTTTCCTTATCACTAGTCGCTATTAATTCAGTGGTTTTTCTAAAATCCTACATTTGCTCTAGAAATCTCACCGCTTATTGCCAACGAATTTGTACGTCATTTTATACAACTTCAAAGCACGGCACGCCGATGAGTTGGACTTGAAAGCTGGTTATAAGGTAAGTTTATTTGTCGCAAATTGTCATTATACATATTGTAAATAAGTCATTGCATTACCTACTATAATGAATACATAATTCGGTTGATTTTCAAAAAGAAATTGCTTTTATTGCTCCAAATGTTTCATACTGATAGCTGACTACAATCATTTTTGAGAGGCCATAAACTTCTTATTTGCAGCACTTTTGAAACTTAACGAATACATACAATTTTAAATTTTTTATTCAGAAGTTTTTGGTAAGCAGCTTTAAAGCCCATTCAAGTCTACTGCAATGGAATGAAAGTTTAAAGTAGCTACAAAATACCGTTGCTTTTTGGTATTTTTTGTTTTTAGTTGACGGTGCTGGGCATTCNACAATCATTTTTGAGAGGCCATAAACTTCTTATTTGCAGCACTTTTGAAAATAAACGAATACATACAATTTTAAATTTTTTGTTCAGAAGTTTTTGGTAAGCAGCTTTAAAGCCCATTCAAGTTTAGTGCAATGGAATGAAAGTTTAAAGTAGCTACAAAATACCGTTGAATTTTGGTAAATTTTGTTTTTTTTTTGGTTGACGGTGCTAGGCATTTTCTTCCATATAATAAAAAATGTTCGAACATACTTTGTATGGAAAGAAAGCATAAAAAAATAATAATATTAAAAAATCAACGGTATTTTGTAGCCACTGCAAACTTACACTTCACTATACTAAAAAATATTAAAAAAGACTTCCGAATAAAAGGTTTGAAATTTTGGTGAAAATTTGTTAAATATTTAGAATTTTTGTACAAAGTTTAAAATGTGGATTTATATGGTGTTTGTTGTATAACTAGCTAGACGTTTATAAAAAATATTAAGAGGCGAGTCTCTTATTTCTGCTACCAGTATAGAAGATTGTTACAGCTTTGATTATAAAACAAAAACTATTAGCAGATTTTCAAGTTCTATGTAAAGACATAAGCAACAGTTAAAAATAAGACTTATAAATACTTAAAATAGTATCGAAAGATTTCAGATATCGTTTTTGCCTTTATATGTCTTAATTTCGCATAAAATGAAAAAATTACTGATTCAAATCTTTGGTAAAATACGTGTCTTCTTTTTTTAATAACCTGTCAGGAAAATAGGATGAAATCTCAGAGATAACATTTTTTTTTTTTTCATTTTGTCATAAAACGAATTCCACCCTACGAAAATTCTCTTGAATTCATCACAAGCACATTTTCTCCGCACATACCGATTGAAAATGAGGCTTGTTAGAGCGCCCTACTATTGCTGAATATACATAAGCAGCATGAGCAGTCTACAATATAGCGCTAAGTAAGGTATACTTGTTAAATCCACAAGAATCGAAGAAACGAAAATATCCTTTAGTAAGTGACACAACATTGTAATTCCTGAAAATGACTTGTGAGTAACGATAATCGCAACTAGGAGTGGAACATGGATGGATATGGAAGGTAATACACTAACTACAAAAACAAGGAAGGTATAATCACGGACTTCTACCTGCCAGCAANCCTATTTAGAACCGCAAATACTGCAAAACTAAGAAGACGTACATAAGAAAAAGAGGTAGCTAGTAAGGAGTATAAATACGAGCAACCAACAAAAATTATCCAGAATGAAAAATGGCACCGAAGATGGCACAACGCCAAAACCGGTTTGTCTCCAAACCAAATTTGGCAAGGTATGACGGAAATTCGTTCCAAAATACATCATAAATGATTTCGTTTCTCACAACGACCACATTGGGACAGACTTAATTCGACTTAGTTTTCCAATGGGTAAGTTCCCAACCATATTCCAAACAGATCTAAATTTACGCCCGGGAATTACTTCGGAGAAGGACTGAAAGGACAAGAATAAATATCATGGTCTAATACTCAGCAGCACGAAGGCTTGAGACAGTTGAACTCTTTGCTAACTGGTTTATTTTTGCTCTAAATCTTTCCGAGTTTAGTAGCATCGTAAGGGCTGATTCTGTCGCAAAATATGGTTACCAGTGAGCTTGTCTGGACAAACCGTCCACAAAACATACAGTTGATCTTCTAGAAAGGTGGGTGTACTATCAGCTTTACACTGAAAGTGTAAGAGTCTATCTACCCTACTTGGTAGAGTCCTGTCAGACCTGCAACTTGATATACCCTCTTGAAAAGCTGGACCTCAATTCCACGGTGCTCGTAAGCAGAGCGTATCAACACAATACGATGATAAGCACCCTAGCTCACTCCCAAATTGGTGTCTGTTCGCTGACCCGTGGATACGTGGATATAAATATCCGGACGTTGTGAGCTGCGATTTGAACTGTATACACAAGAATCACTTCTAACCACTCCCAGATGAATGGACAGGCAAAAGCTTTTCCCATTTACGTGGACTTCTGTATACGGAACCATCCCCCATGCTAATTGTAGTAAACGCCAATCCATCAAAAAGAGTTTTAGTTCCGTGGTGGAAGTCAAATACATGGGTATTATCTTCAATATACTGCCCCAAGATAGCAGTTAAGCAGGGAGTAGGTACACTGCATCCAATAAAGTTCTCCGGAGACACAGTGTGGTGGACATCCTTTCATAAACTACACAACCTACCCTCCTCGATATCTGCCCTGTACACACTGAGAGTAAACTTCAGGCAGGCACCAAAAATGCTCTGACTAATTATTTTGATCATTCAATCCAAGAATCTGTCCAAAAACTCTTAAGCGTCTAGACTATCTCTTTCCAATTCTGGCATTTCATAATCGTTTCAACACCTGATTGCCCAAAGGTTCAAATGGGAAGAAAAAATTATCGTAGATGCCAACTCAAGTTCAACTTCGTTATTAGTAGTCGTATACTAACGTCCTTAGACTACGCGATAAAATATAAAGCGGAGTACGTTCGCTAGAACTTTCACTAAAATTAAGCTTTCACTTGTCTTAGTACTGTAACGGAGTTGCATAAACCCACTTCACTCTCAATAGTTTGGCTTTCAAAAAAAAAATNTATCATAAATTTTTGAACTCACAATTGTGAAAATAGCGAGAGGATTAACAATCACTGATGTACTGACTTCCCAGCAATGCCGTTCCATTCATATTGAAAGAAATGGAGTGCGGTGTAATAAAGATGTAAAATCATTGCAGGTGAAAAAAACTTGGAAGCGGTAAAAAAATGAAATTTCACTGATATGTACACATAAATAAAGCTTGAATGTTTTAATTGAAATATATATCACAACAAGGATACATAAACATATGTACACACATACAATATTTAAATAAATAAAATAGTTTGTGCTCAGAAGCCGTAAAATTCCTGCACCGACCATAATCAAAAGTGTAAACCGAAAAACTAAAAAAAAAAAGTTAGTGAAATTTCGAATATTTGTTTTAATATGACTGACTTTTTGCGAAGCTCTCACATATTTGTTAAATAAATTTAATTTAATCCAGTTTGTGGTTTAATAAAATGATGAAATGAAAATGATGAAATAAAGCATGCTTTTGTTGCCGTAAAAATGTACAACGGCATGCACAAAATACAGTTATGGCCCAAATATCCCCGGCACCTGCATAAAGATGTACTTATGCATTTAAAATGGTTTATGAGAATTTATATGGTAACCACAAAAAAGCAAAGTAACAAAAATTTATAGAAACAAAAAAAAACTAGTCAACCCGCATGGCGTTAAAACGCCAAAATTTAACTTAACTTCTTAAAAAGATGAAACCCTATTTAAAAACCTCAAAGAATATTCCCAATGATTCAGCTAAACCATTTCCGGGTTATCAAATAAAAATATTAACAGCCTAAAGTTTTCCAAAAACTCTATCGTTTCACATTAATATTTCAATATTTTATTTAGCTTGTGTATAAGTAAAACGAATTCGAATTTTAAAATAAGTGACAACCACTTTAAAAGTATTATCAAACTAGAATCTTTTTTAGTGCAATTTGATTTTTTTAACACATGGCAGCTCTCCTAAATACAGTTCAGAAATAAATGATTTTCAAACCCATTTGGATTGATACCCATCTTTTGACAATCCATTTAACTTATTAAATAATTTGAATTAAATGTGTTCAACAGGTGGCAACCCTCCTCTGGCACCCTAAAAAATTCTAAATGTTCAAACTAAATATTTCTGAACACTCATTCGTTTGTTACCTATATTTTAAAATTTCATGTACATACGTAACATGTGCATAATTAAACTTAGTTCGACTTCCAAAACAGGCGGCAACCCTACTCAAAATTATTTTCGAAATAAAATCTCCTTAAATATCTTTCATGAACTGAATTGAATTTTATTTTTTTAAATTCGTGGTAACCCTCCTAAATATAGTTCGGAAATAGAGGATTTCAAACCCATTTCCATTGATAAAAATGTTTTAATAATTTATTTTACTTATTAAATAGTTCGAATCTAACTTTATAAACTGGTGGCAACCCTCAAATACAACAAAAATATACTAAATTGTCAAACTGAAGATTTCTTAAAATTCTTTCTTCTGACACCCGTTTTTAATATTTCATATAACTCGGGTATAAAGTAATTTCATTCGACTTCGCAAATAGGTGGCACGCCTCTTTAAAATATTTTCAAACTACTACCTTCTTAAACTTCTGACACCCATATGGTGCTACCGTATTCATTTACCTATTAAATCTCCTAAATTGAAATTGAATATTTTTTAAACATGTGGCAACCCTCCTTCACGTAGTTGAGATATAAAGCCTTTTAAAGCCATTTCGGTTGATACCCTTATCTATTGTAACAATCGATTTAACTTTTTAAGTAATTTGAGCTTAATTTCTTAATATGTGGCAACTCTTTTCGAAAAAGTAAAACCTTGCTGCACATCTACAGCCCAAACCCTTCAATTTGACACGAGCTACGACATTTTTATATGAATTTGATGGTTTGGCTTACAAAAACAGAATATAAGCAATAATTTTTGAGACCTAAGAAGAAAGTGCGCTCACTTAAATGCAAATGTTTATTTTCATATATTAGTTGTGCAATCTCA